GTGTGTGGCATGTAGAGTGTGTGGCATGTAGAGTGTGTGGCATGTAGAGTGTGTGGCATGTACAGAGTGTGTGGCATGTAGAGTGTGTGGCATGCACAGCGTGTGTGGCATGTGCAGCATGTGTGGCATGCGCAGTGTGTGTGGCATATAAAGTGTGTGGCATGCGCAGTGTGTGTGGCATGTAGAGTGTGTGGCACGTGCAGAGTGTGTGGCATGTGCAGCATGTGTGGCATGAGCAGTGTGTGTGGCATGCACAGTGTGTGTGGCATGTAGAGTGTGTGGCATGCGCAGTGTGTGTGGCATATAGAGTGTGTGGCATGTGCAGTGTGTGTGGCATATAGAGTATGTGGCATGTGCAGTGTGTGTGGCATATAGAGTGTGTGGCATGTGCAGTGTGTGTGGCATATAGAGTGTGTGGCATGCACAGTGTGTGTGGCATGTGCAGTGTGTGTGGCATATAGAGTGTGTGGCACGTGCAGCATGTGTGGCATGAGCAGTGTGTGTGGCATGCACAGTGTGTGTGGCATGTAGAGTGTGTGGCATGTAGAGTATGTGGCATGCGCAGCGTGTGTGGCATGCGCAGCGTGTGTGGCATGTAGAGTGTGTGGCATGTCTCCGGCTAGAGTGCTGTGGCGTCAGCCTAGCTCACAGCAACCTCAAACTCCTGGGCTCAAGTGATCCTCCTCCTCAGCCTCCCAAGTAGCTGGGACTACAGGCATGCACCACCATGCCCGGCTAATTTTTTTTATATATCCTTTAGTGTTTGGCTAATTTCTTTCTACTATAGTAGAGACGGGTCTTGCTCTTGCTCAGACTGGTTTCCGAACTCCTGACCTTGAGCGATCCTCCCGCCTCGCCTCCCAAGTGCTAGGATTACAGGCATGAGCCACCCCACCCGGCCGTACAGAAATGTTTTGACTGCATGTTTGGCTTCCAGACTAGTGTTGAGCTACACTTGCCTGCGTGGAAACCGGAAGATTAAAGGAATGTGGCGTGATCTGTTTATAACTTCCCTACCTTTACAAGGGAAAAGCTGGCCAAGAGTAAACCATATAATCTGTCTCCCTGCAGGCTCCCAATCTTCTCTGGAGCTCGGAGATTAATGATTCTGAGGTTGTTTGCCTCAGAGATCAAGTCATATCTCAATCTTTGGCATGTCTCCTCTTATTCTTTTAAGAATAACTTGACTCACTGCAATCTGGGGTGAGGAGCCTTGTTTGGCAGAAAAACAAGGCAGCCATGTGTGGGTCTTGGCCCTCTTCCTTCTCAAAGGAGCACCCGCCCCAGCCAGAGAGTCCCCTCTACCGACAGGAGACCTGTCCAGCCCACGTGATGAAGACTGTGACTTTCCTCGAAGTTGAT